GAGAGAGAGAGAGAGAGAGAGAGAGAGAGAGAGAGAGAGAGAGAGAATAGAGAACGAGGGCACTGAGCGAGCCTGCCTGAGACATCTGGACGGGAGGCAGCAGAGACAAGGTCTGGGTTAGTGAAGATCAGTGCAGGGGCGGAAGGCCCTCCCAGGAAAACCCGGGGAGGAAGGGCCACCTCAGGAGAGAAGGGACAGCCCCGTCCCTGCTGCTCTACTCCAGGTTGGCCAGGCACCCTAGCAGCCAAAAGCAAGTGACTTCAGGAGAGCACTGGGCTGAGCCTCACCCCTGGAAACCTTGGGTGGTGCCTCCTCTATCATTAACCTGGATCCTAGGGCTCATGTGGATAGTCGCAGTTGATTTGTATCTTTATTAGTCATTATATTGTGATGCAATTAAAATACCATAAGATCAACCCATTACAAATATATAACTCAGTGTTTTAGTATACTAAGAACATTGTGCAATCATCATCATCACACCTGCTAATTCTAAAAGTTACCTCTCTTTGCATTTCTCTCCCATCAGCATGCTCCTGAGGCAGACTCTGCTTCCCAGAGGCTCCAAGCAGATCCTGCCAGCACCTCTCTGGACTGTAGGGAAATGCCCTCCCTAACCCAAGACTATATACAGGGCAAAACTCTATACTCTGCCCCCACCTCAGAACTGGCTCAGCTTTCTGTGAGGCTTTGTAAAGAAAGATTTATGTTATTTTTAGTTAGGTGTGTCTATGTGTAGGTATGTGCATGTGAGTACAGGTGCCTGAGCATCGGACTTACAGCAGTGGTAACTGGGTGCTGAGAACCAAAGCCAGGTCTTCTGGAAAAGCTGCAAACACTCTGAATTACTGAGCATCCCTCTAACCTGAGAGGCCATTCTTGATTAGAACGTTAGCTCCTCTTATTTCTTTTATTGCGTTAAGTTTCAGGTTCTATTTAAGTACAGATTTTTTTTTAATGCACACAAGCTGTGCATTAATACACACCCACCCTGCTGTGTAGTTAGCTGCTGGGACTGCTGACCTGCGGCAGCCAGAGACAATGGTTCAGATGCATGTTGTTTACTTCTTTGGCATCCTGGCCACAACCCGCGCCCCCTTCTTCCCGTTCTTATCTACCCCAGGAACTTGCTGCTCTTTTCAGGATGGCTTTGCTGCTCTAGGAGGAAACACCTTCAACAGTCTTAGCAGAGAAGAACTGGCCCGAGAGCAGCACTTTCAACTTTGTGGATCAGGAATGTGTGCCTGTCACCTGGTCAGGGGCAAAGTCCCCGGGAGTATGAGCTTATCTGTTTGCTGCTCACAGAAACAGTGCTGGACGTGGAAGTCTGGCCCTGGGTCTTTCTGCAGTCTGTGGTAAGCACTTCTGGGATTCCAAGAATTGGGCTTACATTTGAATCACTGGTCATGCTTGTGCCAGAAACACCACTTCCTCCTCTTCTCCTTCTCCTCCTCCTAAGACAGGGTTTCTCTGTGTAGCCCTGGCTGTCCTAGAACTCACTCTGTAGACCAGGCTGGCCTCCAACTCAGAGATCCAGCCGCCTCTGCCTCCCAGTGCTGGGATTAAAGGTGTGTGACACCACCCAGCCAGAAACATTTCTTGATCCTTTCTTTTGGACAACATGAGAGACCTAAGGGTGGTCATGATACTCAGTAGGAGATGGCTGCTCCCTCCACAGACATGGGCACTGCTAAGGAAGAGAGACCAAGCCCTCCTTGAAGATGGCACAGTATGGTGGCAGAGCGGAGCCTCAGGGGGGCAGGGTAGCCTACTGCGCTTGACTGTTCCTGCCATTGACTTGGCTGAAACTGATACCTGAGTCAGGAATGCAGCACATGTGGATGACCTTGTTTCAAGGAAGGTTCTGGAAGAGTTCTGGGGTGATGGATTGGAGTTCAAGATGAGAGAGTGAGGGAGTTATCTGTGGGAATATATGAGAGAGAGAGAGAGAGAGAGAGAGAGAGAGAGAGAGAGAGAGAGAGTCTGTGGATGTCAGAGGGATCAGGTCCCTTGGAGCTGAAGCTACATGTGTGCTATTTGCTACCTGGGGTGGTTTCTGGAAGCTGAACTTGGGTCCTCTGCAAGAACAATACATACCTTTAACTGTAAGAATAATACATACTTTTAACTGCCAAGGCATCTCTCTAGCCTCTTCATTTTAAAAATAGAAAAATATCTTTTTTATTTTGAAAATTAAGGCATTGGAAAGATAGCTCAGTGGTTAAGAACACTTGTTGAGATTGTAAAACATTGATAGTGAACTTCTGCCCTCCGGGGTTCTCCCATTGTGCTGTCAGCCTGTATTTAAGACCTCCCCCCTCCTTCAATAAACGGCATTCGGCATTGAAAAAAAAAAAAAGAACACTTGTTGCTCTTGCAGCGGGCCTGGGTTCGGTTCCCAGCACCCCATGGCAGTTCACAGCCATCTGTAACTCCATTTCCAGGGGATCCAATGCTCTCTTCACCTCCACTGCCACCAAGTATGCATGCAGTGCACATACATATATGTAGGCCAAACACTCAAAATAAAACTAACTAAATAAAAACAAAGCCCACCCTATAAAGACAAGTGGTGGTATGTGTCTGTAATCCTAGCACTCTGGAGGCTGAGGCAATGGGATTGTTAGTTCAAGGCCAGCATGGTCTACATAATGAGACTCTGTCTCAAACAAAACAAATTAAATCAAGGCAAAACAAAGCAGACACAAACACCACATGTAGTCCTGTCCATCTCCAAACAAATGCTCTGACCCATGAACATTTGCGCATACTCTGCTTGCTCTCAATTCCAGCAGAACTGTGGGAAAGGCAGGCGGGAAGCTATCACCTTGCATTTCTCTTCCCAGGCAGGGACAACCTGGGTTGTCCATCCCCACAGATAAACCCCTCATCTTGAACTCCAATCCATCCCCCCAGAACTCTTCCAGAACCTTCCTTGAAACAAGGTCATCCACATGTGCTGCTTTCCAGTGGACAGCAGTTGGCTCAGCACCCCACCCTGCCAGAGGCCTTTTGCTAACGCGCCAGCTGCTCTGACACCTGGAGAAGCCTGGCCACCCTGGCTTTGAAGTGGAGCCAGCAGGGAACCGCTGCCAACAAGAGTCTGTACAAATCTATTGGATCACCGAGGGATCCTTGCAGGCGATGCCTCCGGGCTAGAGAGAAGGCCTCTGGGGAAAAATACAGGCAGCACTCTGGTTCAGGCTGGCTCTGAGCAGAACCATGTGGAGGGTGGAGTCCAGGGCAGGCAACTGGGATGAAGAAAGCAGAGTTGGCAGGGTCCGAGCTGGTCCCAGGGGGTTGGCTGCTCTCTTCTTCCCTGACTTCCAAGAGCTGGGACAAGCTGGCCGGTTGGAGGAAGTGGGGGCCAAGCTTCCAGTCCAAACTCACTGAAGCGCCAAGCTGCTCGGCACCCCTGGTCTAGTGGCATGAGCTGGTCCCTTTTCCCTGACATTCTGGGTTTGATGACTCAGAGATCAGGTCTCGGTTCTATCTGTGTCTCAGTTTCTCCATATATAAGGAAGAGCTGACCACGGTTCCGATAGCAAAGGACACTGAATAATGCAATCTGAGGATGAACTTTGCCCAGGGGCTCAGAAGCTCAAGAGCAGCGTGAGTGCTGTCAACAGAAGGCGCCTCTCTGGGTTAAGGTGCTGGAAGAGCCTAAAATAGCAATAAAAGTGGCTGGGTGGAAGTGAACGCTGCCAGCTCCCAAGCCAGGCAGAGGCTGCCAGCCGGAAGCTGGCTATTTAGTTTCTAGCCCACTTTTGGGGGAACCAACGCTTAGCCAAAGCCCAAAAGAAGAGCTGCTTTACATGATTAAACTTCTTTGGAGAGGTCGTGTGACTAGTGTCCTTCATTGGGACAGCTGAAGCACGTCCCCAAGTTGGTTTGCGCTAACAGTACACCCTGGCAGACTGTTTTAATGCCAGGGCTGTGAGAACAGGACAGTGATAAAACCATGTGAGGACCTAACCCCAAGGTCAGGGAGCATGCTGCTGGGAAGGTTTCCTGGGTCTCTCTCTCCTGGCTTGGGTGAGAAATGTGCTACCCCAGTCCAGTCCTCAAAGGCATAGGACATGTAGGTCACAGCTTTCCCTAGGTGCCAACCTGTACCTCCAGGGCACCCCAATCCCATCTACCCTGTAGGGCCTGACAAGTTTGACTCGGAGCAATATTGATAACAATAATGCTTAATATCCATTTTCATATCTTTTGAATTAAAATTGTATTTACTCATTTGTGTACATTAGGTGGACAGCTCATGCCACAGTCATGTGTGGAGGCCAGAGGACAGCTGGAGGGATCAGTTCTTTCCTTCTACTCTATGGGTCCTAGAGATGGAACTCAGGTGTCACTCTTAGTGGCAAATGCCTCTACCTGATGAGCCCCGCCTCCTCTTATTGAGTCTGTGAGGTAAGTTTGGTGAGCATATTTACAAGGACATGGAGGTTCAGAAGAGTGTCACAAGCTAACCAAGATCACAAGCCCGCATCTAAAGAGCTGTCACTGAAATCCAGGGCTTTCTGAGTCTTGAGCACAGACAGGCTCTAGGCCATTTGCTGTATCTGTTAAGAAAACAGCCTGGACTCCGTGTTAGCAATAACCTTTCTAGGCCTCTGCCCCGCTCCCGCTCCTGCTCTTGGCCTCAGTTCTGGCACCCGCCTGCAGAAGGGCTGGAGATTCAGGCCTGCCTCTGCTGCTTCTGCAGACAACTTACAGCCTTTTTATCCCAGAACCACCGGAGGGGGAAGCCTCAGGTCTTAGGTAGACTGCTCACAGGTTTGGGAGGTAAAGGCCTGAACGGAATGTGCAGCCAAGAAGGCCTGCCTTCCTCCTGCCCTATCCACGGCTCTCTGTAGGCACCACCAGTGGAAAGACCAGCTGCTTTGCACACTGTGCCCGGAATTCTCTGGTCTTCTCACTGCTCCGCTGTCTAGTCAAATCCTGCCTTTCCCTTTTCATATCCGAGAAGTCCATGAGCTCCCCAATTACGGCAGAGAATAACCTAACACCTGTGTTCTTCAATTCAGCTTGTAAAAGTTCTTTTTTTGTTTTTGTTTCTGAGACAGTCTCATGTAGCTCAGGCTGGCCTTGAACTTGGTATGTTCTCAAGGCTGGCCTTGAACTTCTGATCCTCCTGCCAAGTAGAATTACAAGTAAGTAAAACATTCTTAGGACTGAAAAACTCTCAAACTTCTAGAGCCTAACATACCAAATATTCTCTTTCCTTTTTTTTTTTTTTTTCCTTTTTCTCTTTTGAGATAGGGTTTCCCTATGTAGCCCTGGCTGGCCTGGAACTTAGTAAGTAGTAGATCAGGCTGGCCTTGAACTCATAGAGGTCTCCCTGCTTATGCCTCCCGAGTGCTGGGATTAAAGATGTGTATCACATTGCCTAGATCAATTTTTTTTTTAATTTATTTCCTTTTTCCCTTGGAAGGGGGACAGTTGTGAGCTGCCATGTGGGTGCTGGGAATTGAACCCAGGTCTACCAGAAGAGCAGCCCCTGCTCCAAACCACTGAGCCATCTCTCCAGCCCGCCTAGATCAATTTAAAAACAACAATAAAAAACAATACTAGGGATTGAACTCAGGGCCTTTTTCTCTACTGAGCTACAGACTGCCCTCTTCATATCTTTTAATTTGAGATAGGATCTCACTACATTGCTGGTGCTCACATCCTGGAATTCATTCAGGAGTCCAGGAGAGCTTTGAACCTATGAACCTCTTGCCTAACCTCAGTAGTTAGGATTACAGGACTATGTCACCAGGCCAGCCTTTGTTTGTTTACTTTGAACATGGGTTTTACTATATTGCCCAGACTGGACTCAGACTCCTGAGGTCAGTGATTCCCCTTCTACAGCCTCCCATATAGCTAGGACTTCAAGCATGTCACCAACTTCATCTTTTTTGTGGGTCATGGTACTGGGTATTGAACTCATGACCTTATGCATGCTATGTTATATACTCTGCCATTGGCTTATGCTGCAGCCCCCAATTTTGCTGTTGGTATCTTTTGTTGAACAGAACATTTACATTTTAATTTCTTGGTCTATTACAACTGCTCTTAAACTGTGGGTCTTGACCCCTGGGGGGTGTCCCATACCAGACATCCTGCACATCAGATATTTACATTACAGTTCGTAACAGTAGCAAAATTATGAAGTAGCAATGACACAATTTTATGGTTGGTTTTATCATGAGGAACTGTATCAGAGGGTTGCAGCATTAGGAAGGTTGAGAACCCCTGGTCTAGTAGTTAGAATTTGACATTTGAGGCCAGGGTTCCACTTGCCATTAGGAGATTTCTGCTTCTTTGATGGTACCTCCCCATCTCTCTGGGATATCAGCCCCACAAAGGCAAGGACTTTTTGTTCATTGCTCTAGCTGCAGTACCCAGAGTATCTAGCTGGAACGGCACGCTTTGCTCTAGCTGTAGTACCCAGAGTATCTAGCTGGAACGGCACATGTGCTTGATGAACACAGGCTGCTGAACCACAGTTTTGTCTGTGGACAGTTGTGTTTGTCTTGCTCACTGGGCCTGGGCTTTTCGTAGCATGGTTAAGAATTCTTTTGCCACTTCATACCAGACACTCAGCAAACACCTGAAGAATGAATATAGGAGTGAGGTACCACTTTTCATTCACTACACTATACATGTATTTAAAAATTCTTAATTAAAAACATTGTTTTGAAGCTAGATATCATCACTATATAGCTGTGCTGACCTGGAACTCACTATAGACACCAGGCTGGCCTCAAACTCACAGAACTATGTCTGCTTCTACCCTCAGAGGGATGGAATCAAGGCCATGCGCCACCATACCTGCCTTCCATTGTCAACTGTTGGCATTGTTTTCTGAGAGGCTGGAGTCCTACTCAGAAATTCCTCTTTACATCTACAGCTTGTGTTTCTCCTCTAATGGCTTCTGATCTTACATTAAGGTCTTTGATCCATTTGGAGTTGATTAACTTAAAAGGGTTTTCTGTAGTTGTAATAGCTGAACCCAGGTGCTTGCCTCTGCCTCCTGATTTCTGGGATTAAAAATGTGCATCACATGCTCAGCCCCTACATTACAATTTTAAAAATCAGATAATTTGATCACTTTTCGGCCTTTGGGCTAAAATCAAGTGTAAAAAATTAGGTAATTTGTTGGGGTATATGACATGGGTTTTACATGGATTATCTCATCTCTATTAGCTATCATTATTTCTATTTTATAGATGGGGAAATTGTTACTTAGATTAAATAATTGTTTGCTTTTTAAGACAAGGTCTCACTATTGTAGCTCAGGCTGGCCTGGGACTCACTGTGTAGCCTGGGCTGGCCTTGAATTCATTCTTTCCTCAAGAGATTATTGGGATTCTAGGCATGAACCACCATCTCTAGCAAAGTTAAATAACTTGAGTAAGACTATAGGCTTATTGGTGAAGGACTTGCCGTTTGAATCCCCAGAGCTGTGTGTCTCTGGCACCTATCCTTGCCCATCAGGCTATACTGTGACTTTCCAGAATGTAAGTGCTTTTGTCTACAGCTGGGCTTTCTAGGAGTGTTGTGCTTTTGGAGCTCTGTGCTTTTATTCCTAACACAATGATGCCAACAGTGCCTTTCCTATTCAGGCAGATCCCCAAGTAGAGGTGTGGTCTCTGTTTCAGATGACAATAAGGAAGGGAATGTGAGCAATTTAATCCACCCAAGGCAAGAATGCCAGAGGGGGCCTGAGGGTAATACTCTAAACCAGTGGTTCTTCAGTGTGCTTCCTAGACCGTCCACATCATCATGGACGATTTAGAAACAGGAACCTTTGGGGCCCTCCTAGAACTCTTGAACTCCGGTGAGGCTGCTAGCTGGGGTCTAAGAGGCCCCTCGGGTGATTCTGAGGCAGTACAGGGGAAGGACACTGCCTTAAACCTACCCTTGGCTTGGAGCTTCCAAATCTTGTGTTGCTTTCAAATGGCTTATAGGTGACGGTCCCCTTGGTTAGGAGGACAGAGCCAGAGGCTAAGCAGGTGTGGTCTTGCCTTTACTTGATGTCTTGTTAGATCATCTTCTGAGTATTGTGAAAGGGGAAAAAAGCCCGAAAGCACTTTGATCTATTTTTACATAAAAACCCGCCTTATTATTGCTATTATTATTATGTGCATGGATGTTTTGCCTGCAAGTATGTCTGTGTACCATGTGTGCACATTGCCTGTAAAGGTCAGAATAGGGCATCAGATCTGGAACTGGAATTATAGGTGGTCGTACATCACCAAATAGGTGCTGGGAATTGAACCTAGGTCCTCTGGAAGAGCAGCTGGTGCTCTTAACTACTGAACTATCTCTCCAGGCTCCATTTAAAAAAATTGGGTAATAATAATATTAACATTATCATAACAATGAATTATTTATTTACTTATTTATATACTCCTACTTCATTTTATTTTTGGTTTTTGTTTTGAGATAAGGTGTCATGTGTCCCAGGCTGGCCTAGAACTCCTGATCCTCCTGCCTTACCTTCTGAGTATTAGTAGGATAGGCATGCACCATGATGTTTGATTTAATTATTGTTGATTATTATTATTATTATTTTTGAGATCTCTGTGTAGCCCTGGCTTTCCTGGAACTTGCTTTGTAGACCAAGCTGGCCTTGAACTCAGAACTCTGCCTGCCTCTGCCTCCTGAGTCCTAGACTTAAATTAATATTTATTAAATTTGCTAAACAATTTCCATAAGTGTCACTGAAATCTCACAAAACCTCTACGGTTATTATTATTCCCATTTTATAGAAATGGAAACAGGGCTTGGCAAAGCTAAGGGCTATCCTTACTGCCATCCAGTCAATGGGCTCTGATGGGCTGTATATTTACCCTTTCCTTTTTAGGTGTTATTTGTTATTTTTAATTATGGGCATGCCAATGAGCTTGTATGTGCAAGTGAGTGTGGTGCCCACCAAGGCCAGAAGAGTGTTGGATCCCCTAGAAGTAGAGTTGTGGCAATTGAAAGGTGCCTGACATGGGTGCTGGGAACCTAACTGGGGTTCTCTGGAAGAGCAGCAAGCACTGCTAACCACTGAGCCATCTCTCCAGCTCCCACATCACACACCAACCTCTTTCTAACACCTGTGCTCCAGTAGGTTAGGTTTAAATGGTACTACTTTTAACTGATATTGCAAGTGGACTCTGTGTAGGGCATTATTTTAAGCACATTACAGACAATTATTACCACCTTACAAGTAAGGACAGTGATGCTCAGAGAAATTACTTCCTCAAGGGCACAAGGGCATAAATCCAGAGGTCTGGTTCCAATCACATGCTCTGGTTTTGCAGGGCTGGGGACTGAACCGGGGCCGCACACAGGCTGTGCAAGTGCTCTGAGTTCCCAAGCCCTCAGGAAAGCTCCCTAGCTCAGAGGATGATGAGATGGAGATGCTCTGCTGACCACAGGGATAACCTTTTCTCATTCCTGAAAGAACGCTAAGGTGGAGGGGGTCTCTGGCTGCTGGTGGAGATAATGTTAGCTCTTTCCTGTGTTCCTAGCTCACACCTGCTGCCCAAAGGCCTGGCCAGAATGCTTGCTGCCCTTAAGGCAGGCACTTGTGGAAATGCCATGTCATGCTCAGGCTCTGGTTCACAGCTGCCTGTGGATTACATTCTTTTCCGTAGGCATCATCACAGGCTGGAGCCTCCTGCAGCCTGTCCCCAGACCTCAGGGCCCTGAGTAAGAACGCTGGCAGTGGACGGGTGAGGGCAATTCCCCTTCTCGCAGGATCAGCCTTACAGGCTAACCACCCACATCTGTAACTCCGGTCAGACGCCTGGGCCCTTTGATGGGAAAACTGGCATTCTGGCTTTCAGGACAGAGCGAGAAGAGCTTCACAGTCGAGAGGCATTTTCTGGGTAGTTTTCCAGTACACACGGCAGTTGGAGCAGGGTGGGGGGTGAATGCCATTGAGGAACAGGTGGACAGGGAAGCCAGACACTCACACCTACAGAGGAAACCAAATTCCCCTAACTTTGAATTCATCTCTGCTTTGTAGCCACTCCCCTGCGGACTCCCCAGCACTTCTGTTATTTGTACTTGTGCTCATTCCTCATAACGAGAGGTGCTTTTCTGTAGAGGAGCACATAAGCCTCTTACCACAGAGGACAGAAGCCTCTCGGTATTGATAACTGTACAAAGGATATATTCATGACACGGCATTAAGAATTTTGGTTTTCACCAACACTTGAGAGGTAGAGACCAGAGATCAGAATTTTAAGATCATCTTGAGCTACATAGTGAGCACCAGGCTAGCCTGGGCTACCTGAGATCCTGTCTCAACAAAAAGGAAGAATTCATTTTTGCTTGTTTGTTTGTGTGTTGTTGTTTTTTTTTTGGTTTTTCAAGACAGGGTTTCTCCGTGTAGTTTTGGTGCCTGTCCTGGAACTTGCTCTGTAGACCAGGCTGGCCTCAAACTCAGAGATCCTCCTGCATCTGCCTCCTGAGTGCTGGGATTAAAGATGTGTGCCACTGCCCAACCTCATTTTTATTTTTAAACTTCTATTTATTTAAAAAAATTTAATTTATTATTAATTTCTTTTGTTTGCATGTATGTCTGTGTACCACATGCATGCCTGGTGCCTGTGGAGGTCAGAAGAGGAGGGTGTTGGATCCCCTGGAACTGGAGTTATGAACAATTGTGAGCTGTCATGTGGATGCTAGGAAATTGAACCCAAGTACTTGATAAGACCAACAAATGTTCTTAACTGCTGATCCATCTCTCCAGCCTGTTTGTAAACCTTTAAAATAAAGATCTTGTTTATTTGTGTGTGTGTGTGTGTGTGTGTGTGTGTGTGTGTGTGTGTGTGTAAAATGGTGTACAAATATTCACATATCCATTTATTGATGCATTCATTCAGCACACAAGCACGGAGTATCTAGTGCATATGTATGCAGTGCATGTGTCTGTGTGTACACATGAAGGCCATAACAAGGCCATGGATCCCTGGGAGCTGGAGGTACAGGTGTTTGTGGGGGTGCTGGCATGCTTTGTGAGTTCTGGGATCTGAACTCCAGGCCTCTTGCCTGTTCAGTGCTCCTAACTGCTGAGTCACCTAGACCAGGATTGGTGTTTTCAGAGTATCCTATTATTTATAATCTTGCAGTGCTTACACCAATCTGATCTTTAGATCATCTGTGGAAATGGGTGTGGCGAATGCAAAGCTTCGGCTTCCTCCCCTAAGTTTACCATAGACTATCAAGACTGGGAAAGGAAGGAGCTGGAGAGAGGACTCAGTGGTCAAGAGCACAGGCTGCTCTTCCAGAGGACCCCATGGTGGCTTACAGGGCCACAGGATCCCACACCCTCTTCTGTCTCTGTGGGCAGTAGGCACATAAGTGTAACACAGGCAAAGCACCCATACACATAATTCTACAAACAAACAAACAAACAAAAAATAAGAATGGGAAGGGAAGACAGCAGCTATGCTGAAGTGAGAGAAACCAAGGTGATATATGGGAAGAGGTGGTAGGCAGTGCAAGAACTCACTTTAAGCTTAAACATTGCTCTGTGAGGGGCAGGAATACATTTTATTAATGATTATATCCAGTATTCATAGTAGCTACTTGCATGAAACTGACACCCAAGAAATATTTGGTGGGGCTGGAGAGACGACTCAGTGCTAAGAGCACTGACTGCTCCTGAAGAAGACCCAGGTTTGGTTCCCAGCACCCGTGGATTTTCTCACAACGGGCTCTAACTCCAGTGCTGGAGGATCTGATGTTCTTTTCTTGCTTCCTGGTGTTCTAGCACACGTGGCACACATAAACTCACACTGACAAACACAGACACATAAAAAAATAAATGTTTTGTTTTGTTTTGCTTTTGAGACAAACTCTATGTAGCCCTGCCTGTCTGTCCTGGAATTCACAGAGATCCGCCTGGCTCTGCCTCCTGAGTGCTGGGGTTAAAGGCATGTGCCACCACTGACTGGCAAGTCCTGACTTTTAAAGCATGAATTCCACCCCCAGTCTCTTGGGCTGAATCTTTCTTAAAATGAGCTGAACCCAAAGGGAAACTAGCATGGAATTCTGATGTTACCTCTGCTTTCAAAATGAAGAGATAATCTCCCATGATCATCACCATCACCCTGTTCCTCATCCCTTTCTTTCTTCTTCTTTCTCTTTCTTTCTTTCTTTCCTTCCTTCCTTCCTTCCTTCCTTCCTTCCTTCCTTCCTTCCTTCCTTCCTTCCTTCCTTCCTTCCTTCCCTCCCTCCCTCCCTCCCTTCCTTCTCCTCCTGCTCATCCTCTTCCTTCTTTTTCTTTTTTTTAAAAAATGATTTATTTTTATTTCATGTACATTGGTTTGCCTGTATGAGGGTATTGGATCCTTTGGAGCTGGAGTTACAGACAGTTGTGAGCTGCCATGTGGGTGCTGGGAATTGAACCCAGGTCCTCTAGAAGAGCAGCCAGTGCTCTTAACCACTGAGCCATATCTCCAGCCCTTCTTTTGCCCTTTCAACTAAAACACAATTTAAGCTAGGCCTGATAGTGCATTACTGTAATCCCAGAACTGAGGTGGCTGAGGCAGGAGGATACACTGAAAGAGACTGTCTCAAAAGACACAAAACCAAACACAGGAAAAACCCAAACTCCCTTGGGATTGCAGGTTAATGAAAACACTAAACCCTGCCTTAGAGCTTCTACTAGTGGTCCCTGGAGAAGGTGAGTTCAGTGAACAATGGGGGGGGGCACACAATTTTCTGTAAACTGTACACATTATTAGCAAAAGCAGATCATGAGCCTTGAATACAAAATGTCCTTTCCCAGAAAGACATGGGCCTGCTGCTAGTGCCGCCAACTTCCCATCCTCCAGGTCCATGGAGAGAACGAGCCGGGGCGTCTGGAGGAGCAAGGTGCGTCTGACAGAGCAGAGCCACTGGGCCTTTGGCTTGAGAAGCCAACTGTCGGGGCAGAGCTGGTGCCCCCCACAGAGGCCAGTGAAGAGGCTGCATTCCAAGTCTCCTGGCTGTGGCCAGCTGGGCCACTCACTCCGCTACTCGCCAGAGTTACCCGTCAGTTCACTTAAGGGAGTTACCCTCTTTGTACTTCAGCTGCTTTTCAGTACGGCAGGGCATGTGGGAACACCTAGAGGAATCTTCACGGGGACAGACATAACTAAAATAAGTAAACTGAGGTGGGGCAATGAACATGGATGATTGCAATATGACTTATTTTGGAAACTGGGAACTTTTCAGAAAATAAAATCTTTTGCTCAGCTTGAATATGCAAACCTACCTCAGATTTGTGTTAAATGATTAAGTTAATTTAGGTAATCAACTACTTCATTTGGTTAAAAAAAAAAAGCGAGTGATAGTAAAACCAAACACAGGATTTAGGGCCCGATCACTCTCTGCTTACCACAGTTCTGGGCTAACCTCAAACCCGGAAGCCTTCTTTAGCATACACCACACTATCTGTTCTTCCCTCAGTGGGGGTTTAGCCTTCCATGCCTTTCCAGGCCCTGCCCTCAACCTCTGTATTATAAATTATCATCCACTCTTGCTCCCCTTATTCAGAATACCCTCGTGTGTGTGTGTGTGTGTGTGTGTGTGTGTGTGTGTGTGTGTGTGTGTACATGCATTTGTGTAGCCCTGTTTTTTTGTTTTTTGTTTTTCTTTGAGACAGGGTTTCTCTGTGTAGCTTTGGAGCCTGTCCTGAATCTCACTCTGTAGCCCAGGCTGGCCTCAAACTCACAGAGATCCGCCTGCCTCTGCCTCCCAAGTGCTGGGATTAAAGGCGTGCACCACCACCGCCCAGCCGGCCCTGTGTTTTTATTTCACTACCCTCAGAGTCTGTCTTCAGACCCCAAGGTTCCCTGTAAAAGCACAAAGGATGATTTGGTTTCCCTTAGGAAACACCAAGTGTGATATCTGGGGGCAAACCCACAAGAGACTTGAAGGCCAGTTTCTCTCTTAATGCTCCCCACCCCCAGAGTTTCTCTGTGTAGCCCTGGCTGTCCTGGAACTCACTCTGTAGACCAATGTGGCCTTGGCCTCAGAGATCCGCCTGCCTCTGCCTCCTGAGTGCTGGGACACAGCCATGTGCCGCCACTGCCCTGCTTCCCATGCCTTTTCTGAGATACGCTGTCCTGGTTTCTCGGAGCAGCTTTCATCCCCAGAGTGCAGCGGGCTTGAAGACGCGGCCTTGGGACCCACGTACCTGGCTGCTTTCTGCGTGAGCTCCAGTGGGAAGTCCGGGCACAGTAACTGCAGCAGACAGTGGTACTCCCTCATGGTCAGCAAGTCTGTGGTGCAATGGAAAGGACCTCATTAGGACCCCAGTTCAGGGTCTGCCCACCTTTTGGTTATCTCATGGGTTTCACGCCCAGTCTTGTTAGAATGCTGCTGCGGTTTGAAAGGCAAGGTCAGTGTAAAGAGCGAGGCTTTTCTTGTCTCTTTTCTTTTTTTCTTTCTTTTGACCACAAGGTCTCGCTCTGTAGCTCTGGCTGGTCTGGAACTGTATAGACCAGGCTGGCCTCAAACTAACAGGGATCCACCTGTCTCTGCCTCTCAAGTGCTGGGATTAAAGGCGTGCGCCACAGCTGGCCCAAGAGGTGAGCTTTCAGGAGTGGTATCTATCTCTGCCAAGCCACCCCTGGGTGAGGCACTAGTTACAGCGTTCCAACCAAAGGGGCTCTCTCTGTTGGTTTGAGAACTGGCCAAGTGAAGACAGGAAATAAGAAGACACCATCAGTCTTGCTACCCCGGTTTTCCCTGACTCCAAAACCGGGTGGATGAGTCATGGCAAAGCTGTTTGAGTCTGTTCAAAGTCTCTGGCATGGCAATATTTACCACTGCATGCCCCAAACACCATCTACAAACCATCAACAGGCAGTAAGGCAAACATGTTGCATGCATGGGAGGGGGTGGAGAGGAGAAGAGTGTGGAGGAACACACGGCACAGAGTTGGTTGGTCTGCCCCCAGGACCGCAGCAGGCTGACTTCTTTGGGATGCCTGCACACATATCTGGTCATCCTGTTGTTATAGGAGGCCAAGACGAAGTCCAAACAAATAATCAAGTTGTGGCAAACAAATAATCCCTGATCCACAGATCAGTGCTGTGGGAGAGAGGTGCCAGGAGTTTTGTGGGTCACATTTGCCAAAGAGGCAAATCTCAGAGGTTCCCAGTGTCCACACAGGACCCACACCTATGCTTCCCAGCTGTTTTGCTGCGGCCTGTGTTACAACCAAGGCGCTGCCATCAGCCAGGCCACAGCAGTCTTCAGGAATTCCCAAGGAGCAGAGGCTTTCAAACATGGAAGCCCTGCTCACGGAGAAACAACAGCAACCCGGCTGCAGCTCGAAGTGGGAGGAGGCTATGGTTAAGCTGAGGAACAAGGATGATTATCATGGGCACTTGGGTTCTTGGACCTAAGTTAGCCCAAGCCACAGGAATCCAGATCTCTTGTCCCTGCTCGTTTGCTTGATTCTTTTCTACCAAACCCCAAATCTCCAGGGTCAGGCCTGGGCTCCAACCACTTTTCATCAAAGCTCACTTCAAGGTGGGGGCACAGAGTTAACCTAACCACAGTGCCAAAGGCGGAGGCACCAGAAGAACAGACTCAGCGTCAGTGTAGGTCAGGGGATCAAGAGGGCGTTTGCGGCCTTGACCTTGGCTTCATGGGCCGCACACTCTTTTCTCACTCACTGACCCCAGGCAGTCTGGCAGAAGTTATATTCTTCAAGCACAGGAGTAATAGCTGCTCAGTGTCCCCACTTGGCGTGAGGAGCAGGAGTGATGGAGGACAGGGGAGAAGCCGGCTCTGCTCTCCCTCCAGGACTGGGAGGAGGGTGCTTCCTGACAGTACGACCTTTGAATCATCAACGGCTGTCCTATGCTAAACTTTGACACGGTAGCTGGAGTGTGGCCACGGACTGCACAGGAATTAGCATACATTTCAAATCGCCCGGACACCCACCTTGGGAAGACGTCTATGGCAACACGCAGAAGAGTTCAAGTGGGGAGAGGAGTTCGTCTCTGCCTCCCGGGTTCCAGAGCTGAGGCCCCTTTCTCTTGTTTTTAAGGTGCTCAGGGGCCAAACTCAGACATCCTACACAAGTGTGCTACCACTGAGGAACACCCCTCAGCTCCTCATTAGGTTCTCTGTATGTGTACGTCTGTGGCGTGTGTGTGTGTGTGTGTGTGTGTGTGTGTGTGTATGTGTGAGTCCATAGTGTGTGTGTGTGTGTGTGTGTGTGTTTGTAGACCTGAGGACAACCCTGAGTATTGTTCCTCAGGTGTTGGCAAACTTTTTTAATTTTAATTTTTTTTAAAATTCCATCTGTTCCGGGGATTGAACTCAGGTCCTCACGCTTGTGAGGCAAGCACCGACTGAGCGATCTCCCAGCTCCCTTTAGGTTCTTGCTGTTGTTCGAACTCACACAGTTCAAATACTTGTTTCCCAAGGGTGGAGGGCTAATTTATATAAACTACTTTTACCTCTCTAATGTGACGAAGACTCTTAGAACTCCTAAAGCCAGGAGATGCCCTGCCCACCACTTCTGGAGCTGACTCTCCCCAAGGCTGGGTGAGGAAGGTGGTCACAGAGACCCAGGAAAATACAAGCCAACAGCTTTGCCGTGTGAGAGCAGTTCAGTTCAATTAGGGCAGTGGTCAGATAACATCAAGGCCAGGGATTGCAAGGGAAAGCCACCCTGCCCCTCTGAAGATGGGGTACCTACCACAAGCGGAAAGACTGGTTCCAAAATCCAACCACTGCCTGTCTGGCTCAGGTATGGAACCCCAGGCAGAGGGCTTCATCTCCCCATCTCCGGCTCTCTGCGGTAAGCTGGGGACACCTGTGCTCACTTTTCAGGACTGAAGTCAGAAGAGATGCTATCTCTACAGTACTTAGCAGAATGTCTGGACCTCAGTAACATCAAACACTTGGAGTTGTTTTGGTTTGTTTTTAAATCCTGGGGGTTAACGACAGGAGAGGAGATGAAGGCACCTTCTGAGGTGGTTTATTTTTATTTTTTCTTGGTGCATTTGAATGCTTTAATCTATAGTGTTCAGTCTTGGATAGTCTGTGTCAGGCGGTCTGGCAAACTCATTTCCACTCTTCCGTACCCGCTCATTCACCACTGACACTTGCCTCCTGCATCACAGGCACAGCATTACAGGGATGCAGCCGTCACAGAAGAGCTCCTGAGGCTGAAGGCCCCTAGCTCGGCCAGGCATTTGTTAACTCCAAAGGCTTTGTGCACACTGGCCTCTTTGGCTTTTAGCACTCCCTCCGAAAATTCAAAGAGTTTCCTAGCAGCCCTTCTGTGCTACAAGCGTAACAGTAACAAGAGTGAATAGTTCTCCAGCTCCGTGCTCAGTGTTTGAATCAGTGCCCTTAGCTTCACAGCAGCCTTAGGACGCTGGCTCCATTGTTCCTCCTCCCAAGTCCCAGATAAGCCGTGGAAGCTCAGAAGATCTAATGGCCTATGATCCTGGAGGGGAGCCCAGAGGCTGAGAAACAGGAGGATGTGAAGGGGTTCTAAAGGCAAGAGGGCTTAACGAAAATACTACTTCCTGGTGTCTGGAGTGTTTACTACGGGTCAGGCTCTGCTCTCTCTAAGGTTTACATGCTTTATCTTACCTGATTTTCACCTTAATTCCTTCTATTTTAAAGGCGAAGTCTCATGCTTAGGCCAGACTGGCCTAGAACTGGCAGCGGACATCTTGCCTGTGTCCTCCTGAGTGCTGGGAGGTGTGAGCCACCAGCTAATCTTCATGATTAAAAAAATTCATCTGTGTGGAACCCACATGAAGGGCTCAGGACGATTTTGTGGAATTGGTTCTTTCCTTCCGCCTGCGTGTGGGTTTGGGGATCGAACTTGGGTTGGGCTTGTGCAGCCACCCTGAGTCATCTTGCCACCCTAATCGTCACTATTTTTATCCCCGTTTCATAGACACGCGGATTCAGACTGTGTGTACACAAGGGTGGAATTGGAATCCAAATCCAGGCGGTGGCTGCAGAGCTCACCCAGTTAACAACGCTCCAGCACCTTGGTCTCACCGGCTGCTATGGGAGGGCTCAGGCACTGGCCTCCCCGACCCCGACCCTAACAAACTGCAGCAATAACCGGGTCCAGGTGAGCTGGATCAAGGAGACAATCCTGGTGAACTGGAATCTTTCTGGTAAGAAACTGAGACTGAAAGGTTCTAATTACCGTAAACAGGAAACACTGAGGCTCAGCTCCGCAGCTGGAGCTGGCGAGGCTGCCCGCCAGGGGAGGCCGCCTACAGCAGGCTGTACACCTGTGCTCTGGCTGCCCCGCAGCGCTCACCCCCCACCTGCGAGCCTCAGCATCACCAGGTGCAGGGAAGGGCAAGGATGTGGTGTGTACCCACAGACGCTTCTCTAAAGGAATCCCCCACAATTAGGAGAGCTCAGCCAGCAGGTCCTGAAAGTTCAAAGGAAAGACTTTCGTATAAGATCAAAATCAGAACCCTCTCCACAAATTGGTGCTTCTCTTCGTGTGGGTGGTCAGAATTGTTGAACTCTCTTCAAAATCTTCTACTAGTCTTACCAACTGGGTACCTGGCCCAGTACCAGAGAGGCTTGCCACTTTATTCTATCATCTTCAGAGGCTGCCCAGTGCCGTGGCTCAAACATTAGAGTGCTCAGGACTAGATTTGAGCTTTGCCATTGACTTCAAAATACTTCATAACTCCATACCTCAGTTCCCCCAGGTATAAAATGTTTGTATAGTTTGTGAGTTAATGTTAAGTGCATAGCCCAGTGTCTGGCTCAGTGGGTGTTGTTAGTATTTGCCATGGTTATTTCAGAAAGAGAGAAACTCTGCTCTGGGAGGTCAACGATTGATCAAGGAGACAGCTGGTTTAGACCTAAGACCTTCAGACCTAAGCCTATCTGACTCCAAAGGCCACGAGAGTTCCACCCGAGCAGGTGGAATCCAGCTGGTTTATGGAAGCCTTAGCTTCCGATGAGAGGATTAGTATTGATGCCAGATGACTGACAGACTATCCTCAGGTGGGCCAAGTCAACAAGGGCAGGCAGACTAGTCAGTTAGGGCAGTTGTGTTGGTGTAGAGGTTAACGAAACCAGACGACATAATGTCATCAGAACCTGGTTCTAGTACTTAGTGGAGACCAATTATACAACCTCTCTCTCTGCACTTTGGGTCCACTGTTTAAAAGTGTGCACAGTACAGTGCCTACCTGATAGGGATGCTGTAAAACAAAACAAAACACCAGAAGAGGTTATTTATATATGTGAAGCCTTATCAGAAAAATCAGCAAAGTGGCTGATCTACTTAAACTATACCACTATTTTAAAATTAACTGATTTAACCTTGAAGTCCTGGGCCAGGTGTGGTGGCACATGTCTTTAATCCCAGCACTTGAGAGGCAAAGGCAGGTGGATTTCTGTGAGTTTGAGGCCAGCTTGGGCTACATACAGAGTCAGTTCCAGGGCAGCCAGCGCTTCATAGAGAGACCTTGTCACAAAACAAAACAAAACAAAACAAAACAAAACAAAACAAAACAAAACAAAACAAAACAAAACAAAACAAAACAAAAACAATAAAACAAACAAACAACTAACCAACCAACAAAACAAACAAACAAAAAATAAGCTTGAAATCCTGAAATTGAGACTGAACTACAACATGCAGCTAAATTCTGACATTAGCACAGTGAGTGTATACTGAGGGAGTGAATAAAACCACGTGCCACACAGTGACCTAAGTCAGAGCTCACTGTGCTGTGGTTTAAGCATGTAATGTTTCCCACAGACTCATGGGTTTGAACACACGGTCCCCAGCTGGTGGCACTGTTTGGAAAGGTTATGGGACCTTTAGGAGCTGAACCTGCTGGAGGAAGTATGTCCCTGGGGGCAGGCGTTGAAGTTTTCTAGCCTAGTTCCACTCTGTTCCTGCTCCTGATCACAGCTTCCCCGCCATGCTGGACGGCATCCCTTCTGAGCCTGGACCCACATAAGCTTTTATCCTTTAAGTTCCACTTCAAGAGTATTTTATCACAGCAGAAGAGAAGAAACTAAGACAGTGTGTGAGCACAGAGAAGGGGAATCTCCAGGGATAAGAGGTATTCTGCAAATGGGTATTTGAGGGAATCCAGAAGCTGCAAAAATTGAAAATGGCAAATGCCCTGTTTCGGAGACACTACAACTATCAGTAAACCAGTAAATCATGGCGGGTGTGCCAGGGTACACAGGCTGTTGATTCCTAGAACCTTCTCACCAAGGGCTCAGTTCGGTTAGCTTAGATGTTTTCAAGGAATCAATAGCCACTTTTACCATGAAAACCAAAGGAAGCCAACGGGTCATCTCACAGGAATGCACTTCGCTCTAAGCACAACCCTAGTGTGAACACTTTCAAGATGAGCAGCACCCACATTCAAAATACTCTTTGTGTTGTTATCTCTGTCGTCTTCCCAGAGACTGATGGACAAGGCTATTTTAGCCAAGGAAATTAATCTAGTCAGAAATGACTGATACTCAATGTACTCAAGAGCTAACTTGGCCTCATTTGTAGGAAAGAGAGAAGGTTGTTTTTTTTTTTTTTTTTTTTTTTTTTTTTTTTTTACATCTGGCCTGCTTTTCTGCTGTGAAAATTCCTGCCTCTGAAGCTCTGTGGAGGCAGCTTAGTCATTTCTACATCCTCTGCAGACCACCATGTGTCTCCACAACATTTTCTCACAAGAACTGTGCGGGTATGTGGCTGTGGATTCAGAGGCCTGGGAAACGGTGCTTGAGCCAGATCCTGAGCGCCATCACCACAGAACAGCAGAATGGAGCCAGATGGAAGGACTTGGGGTCCATCTTTGCCTCACTCAGAGTAAGTGAATCCAGGACTTTTAGCCCTCGAAGTGTGGGGATACAATAGGTTCAGTCTGAACTCATCTGTGTGTCAGCTGCCTTTGCTGGTGCTGGCTCGGGGCTAGAGATAATGAAACGCTATAAAGCCACGGGAACCCAGAGGGCTGGATGACCTCTAGCTGGTTAGCTGCATGATTTCAATAGAAACTGCCACAGAGGCCAGAGAACACCACAGACCATGAGTGGACTCTTCAATTTTCAGTTACAATTGTTTTTATGTGCATTTTTTGCAGGAGCTATGAAGGATCACTCTAAATGACACTTACCCTTGGCCAGGACGCTCTGCCAAGAGATGCTCGGAAGGCCATGGATCGTTTGGGGCATGACCACACCACCCCTTCCCATCCCTAGGGTATGAAGGCTTTGTTACCAGGCCACCGCAGCTGAGTAAATACTTCTCAGTGCTACTCTGCAGAGGAGGGAAGGGAAGTGGGGGAGGAGGGGGGGCATCTGACAGCTTCCCTCTCCGTGAACACTTGGTACCACAGTCACAGGAAGATTGCTAACGTCTTAGGAGCTGTCAAGCAAAGCCTAGAAGAGAACAGTCTGTGTTCCTAAACGTTATCTTCTTTGGCAGTACTGTTGTGTCATATTATAAATGGAGGGAGATGATAATTAGTTTACTGAAAGAGAAATGACCCTATACAAGGAATGAGAAGAAATGGCTTCCAACGACACTTGTGGGTACAATACTTGAGCCTTTATTAACTCTGGCCTCTGCCAAGTCACTACTCCCCAGAGGACGTATTCAAAGAGGAGCAGGATGGCAAACTCTTTATCTTTACATTTTATTATGACTAAGCACAGCACCAAGTGAGAACTGTAGCTGGTCTATTCCTGTTTGGCCAGTGGGGTTCTAGGCAAAGCATTAAATCCGACAAGGCAATGATCTTGGTGCAATGTTTAGGATGAGCAAGAGCGACTGCCCAGGAACTGTGTGTATCAAATACAAATGTAAAGAGAGGTGGGCATTTTCTTTTCTTTTTTTCAAATTATTTATTTATTTTTATTTTATTTGCATGGGGTTTGCCTCCAGATATGTCTATGTGAGGGTGTCAGATCTTGGAGTTATAGACAGTTGGTCAGCTGTCATGTGGGTGCTGGGAATTGAACCCGGGTCCTCTGGAAGGGCAGTCAGTGCTCTTAACTGCTGAGCAATCTCTCCAGCATTTTCAATCAAAGATTATATACACACATCCTGGCAGTTTGGTCAGGTCTGTGGGCTAACTATGGCCATCTCTACACAACACTGGGGGCTGAAACAGACCTGATCTGCCACAGAAGATTCCCTTACACTAAGTCGGACCCTTGGGGTGCTGCTCTGTCTTCTGGCCCTCAGATAGGACAGTGAAAAGTTGGGGGTTTAAGGCAGAGTACTGTTTTTGCTTCTCAAGACAAGAGTTTCACTGTGTAGCCCTTGCTGTCCTGGAACTCACTCTGTAGCCCAGGCTGGCCTTGAACTCAGATCTGCCTGCCTCTGCCTCCCGAGTGCTGGTATTAAAGGTGTGCACCACCGTGCCCAACAATCTTACTTTACTTCTAAAGAGGACTGTTTTTCCTTTCAAACAAGCACCACAGAACCAAGGTGGAACATTCCTCTGGGGCCAGCAGGTGCTGCTGAGTACTAAAACCCATTCCTGCTCGGAAATGAACAGAAATGCTTCAACAGGCAAAGAGTTAACATGGAGAACGAACTTCAGCCCCTTCTCATGGTGACTGAAAATGAGAGGAAAGGACTCTCCTCGAGAGCTGATGTACCTGAACAATTCACTCAGCCTTTGTAAAGGAGGGTGTGTAAACTTTTCTTACATAGGGTTTTATGGTCAGGATGAAGGGTTCCAGGTCGTTTTCGGAAAGAAAAAGTCTATTCTACTTCAGAGATACATCATGATACAGAGGCAATGCCCCAGTGTGAGTTCTATAAAGAACTGACTACGTTCCTCTGGTTACAACTTTGCCAGGTCTCAGTTTTCCACCCATAAAATATTGGGGGCTGGAGAGATGGATCAGTGGTTAAGAGCACTGGCTGCTCTTCCAGGGGACCCGGTTCAATTCCCAACATCCACATGGCAGTTCACAGCTGTCTGTAATTCCAGGGGATCTGGAACCATCACATAGACATGCATGCAGGCAAAACACCAATGCATATAACATTAAATAAATTAATGAATTATTAAAAAAAATACAGAAGTTGTAGTACAGGAGCATAAAAAATAATTAAGAGATACACTTTAAAAATAGAAATCCAGCCGGGCGGTGGTATCCCATGCCTTTAATCCCAGCACTTGGGAGGCAGAGGCAGGTGGATCTCCATGAGTTGAGGCCAGCCTGGGCTACAGAGTGAGTTCCAGGAAAAGCACCAAAGCTACACAGAGAAATCCTGTCTCAGAAAAAAAAAAAAAAGAAAGAAATCCTATATGAAACTTTAATATATATGATTGTGGTGGTTTGAATGGTCCTCATGGGCTCATGTATTTGGATGCTTGGTTATTAGGGAGTGGTGCTACTTGACTCGGATTAGGAGGTGTGGCCTTGTTGAAGTAGGTGTGGCCCTGTAGCCTTGTTAGAAGAAATGTGTCACTGGGAGTGGGTTTGGGGTTTCAAATGCTCAAGCCCAGTCCCAGTGCCTTTCTCTTCCTGCTGCCTATGGATTCGGATGTAGAACTCTCGGCTCCCTCTCCAGCATCTGCCTGTGTGCTGCCATGCTTCCCACCAGGACAGTAATGGATAAACCTCTGAACGTAAGCGAGCCACGGTTAATGCTTTCTTTGATAGGAGTTGCCGTGGTCATGGTGTCTCTTCTCAGCAATGGAACACTGACTAAGACAATCTTAGATAAAATAAAGCCTTTCTTACTGAACTGTCTCTTCAGTGGCCCTTGCCCACCTTAAAGTGATGGAGACTGGGGGCTGAGGCACTGATTTAAAACTCAGAATGGGGGCTGGAGAGATGACTCGGTGGTCAAGAAGACTTACTGCTTTTGTAGAAGCGCTGGGATTGATCCCCGTTGCTCACATGGCAGCTCACAACTGTCTGTAACTCTAGTTCCAGGGGATCCCAACTTGGGCACCAAGCACAGACAAACATGCAAGCAAAACACTCACACACGTAAATAAATACATCTGAAACATGAGACTGACCGACCAACCAACCAACCGACCGACCAACCAACCAACCAACCAACAGAAACAGCACAGGGGCCGGAGAGACGGACGGCTCAGTGGTTAAGAGCAATCACCGCTCTTACAGAGGACCTGGGTTCAGTTCCCAACACCCATATGGTGGCTCACAACCTGTCGTAACTCCAGTTCTAGGGAAATTCAATACCCTCTCTGGCCTCTATGGGCACCTGCACACACATGAACTCATGCAAGCACACACACACACACACCACAAATAAAATTTAAAACTCAGCATGAGGGTACACATGTAATCTAGCATAGGAGGCTCACAAGTTCAAGGCCAGCCTGGACTGTACAGTGAGACCCTGTTTCAAAGAAACTAAACTACCAGAGAAAAACTCCCGAGTTTTACTAAAGGCAGCCTAAACACTCCTGTCCCTAACTTCTGAGTGGGTCTGACTGAATGTGAGAGAGCTCCCAGTCAGCCAGGTTAGGTGCAAACCCTGGTGGTTCCCTGATTAGCTAAGTGACACCATGTAAGCCAATTTAGAAAAGACTGTGAATAATGATTTAAAAAAAATGATGTGTATGTGTGTGTATATCTAAGTGTGAGTTTGTGTACGAGTGCTGTGCACAGAGAAGCCAGAAGAGGACATCAGATCCCCTGGAACTGGACTTACAGGCATTGGTTGTGAGCTGCCTATATGTGTGCTTGGAATTGAACTTGGGTCCTTTACAAGAGGAGTGATTGCTTTTAACCACTGAGCCATCTCTCCAGCCATGGCTGCATTTTCTTTCTTTTTCTTTCTTTCTTTCTTTCTTTCCTTCTTTCTTTCTTTCTTTCTTTCTTTCTTTCTTTCTTTTTTTTTTTTTTTGGTGTTTCAAGACAGGGTTTCCTTGTGTAGCCCTGGCTGTCCTGGAACTTGCTCTGTAGACCAGGCGGGCCTCTGCCTCCCGGGTGCTGGGATTACAGGTGTCCGCCACCACCACCTGGCCCCTTGACCGCATTACTAATGATATTAGCATGGATAATGTCAATTCTAACATTGATCATGGCGAGTTTTTGAGAGGATTAAGAGGTAGTGATGAGAGAGAGAGAGAGAGAGAGAGAGAGAGAGAGAGAGAGAGAGAGAGAGAGCGCGCGCGCGCGCGCGCGCGCGAGCAGACAGTAAACAAAGCTCTGGTCAGGGCACAGGAAGCACCCAGGAACCAAACCTGCTCTTACCACTTCCCTGCTCTGGAGGAAGCCCGGGGGGGATGGCATTGCCTAACAAAAGGCACAGGTCACTGGAGTTCTTCAGCTCAGGCCCATGGGGGCTGAGCCAACCCCACTCCTTATCTCATGATTATTTTATCATGCCTTTGTTCTTTATTGATGAGTTACAGACATCCGGCCTGAGGCAGGTGCACTCCATTTTCCTTGATAGCCAACTCACTGCCAGTCCTCTGACACCCCAGTCACTAGTGTGAACAGCTCGGATCTGTAGGGACTGTGTAATTGTGCTCTGTCACCCTACTCACTAGTGCAGACGGCTCGGATCTGTAGGGACTGTAATTATGCCC